GTAATGAAAAGTGAGACGAGACCAAATACAACAGTCCTAAAATTAAAACGTTACTAGCCGTGAATATTAATAAAATAACAAAATATCATGAATTGGGCAGGCTGATAGGAAAAAGAAAAGCCACAAACTATATTATTTTATATCAATAACATATTCCCTAGGCTTGCAAGCATTGCCGGCATTCCATAGTCATTTAAGTTATACAACAAACTGAAGTAGTTTTTTTCAGTCATATAAATTCCATACGTCGCAAGGATCCATATTCATCATGACAGAATTCTAACTTGGAACACAATGTTAAAATATACTCCCTCCGTTCCTTATTATAAGAGACAAATAACCAAATTACGTTGATAAAAAAAACAGTTAAAATTAGTTGAAGACAATTAATGTGTAAAAAGTATAATGTTTTTTCCAACAATGTCCCCATTAACAAGGAGAGAGAGTATGAGAGAAAACAATTAAATTATTAAAAGAAAGAGAAGTGAGAGGGAGAGAGAGTATGAGTTGGAGACAAAATAAATAGGGGTAAAATAGGAAATCAATACAAAAAACTAGAGACAACTTTTAAGTGTCTCTTATATATAGGAACATGCCATAAGCATCAAATGTCTCTTATAATAAGGAACGGAGGGAGTAACTTATATCAACACTTGGAAACATTGCTATTTATATGAGATATTAAAAGCAAGAAAAGCACCCTGTTGATTAAATTCTTGATTCTGAGGAAACTGTTAGTATATAACAAAGAGGGTCAGCATATGTACCTTCCTCTGATAATGTTTTTGACTCGACCATTATAATCTCAAATATCTCGATGGCACTGATGATGGCAAGACTACCTTCTTTTGGCTTCAAGGCTATTGTCAAACTCCTCCCATTAACAGTAACAGTTGTATTAAGCACAAGGGCAGTATATCGATTACCACTCAATTTTATAATATCTATATCTTCAAAGGTAGTATCACCATTTATCATGACGTCAAACACTCTTTGCCCTGCACTAGTCACTGAATTATCAATCTCTGCAAATGTAACCAAACGGAGTAGTTTCGGTTGGGATCCACATCCATTATATATGTTAATTCAGGCTGACTAGCAGTACTAACGAGTGCTGAGCGATAAAGAGTTTCTGGATAAAAGTTTGGAGGAAGTGAAGCCTGTTTGACCCTATTTTCAACAGATCTAGGTCTATCTGAATCTTGACCAAAACTTTTTATGTGGTGCCAGAATCTGTCCCCTCCCCAAGGATCCCCTCCATAATCTATGCCAAATTTTGACTGTCCAAAACCACAACTCAGTCTTTTGACTGTTCTAAGTATTATCCCTTGACCCCACTGTGGGCCAAAATAATAGGCTTTATCATCAATTTGAAGAATCTCAATTGATAGTATTGCTGGGTCACCATGACCTGTGCTATGGAAACATATAGAGACAGTTCCATCCATAAGAAAAAGAAGGGCTTCAGCAAAGACTTGATCAACCTGACTTGTCCAGCCTGATTTTAAAGAATGTATTTGGGTACCATCAATTGAGATATCAAACAGTGGTTCACTGGTAGCTCTAGATGTTACAGCAATTCCAAAGAAGATCCTGACTGAGTAGTGCCCTTTTGGCACTCTATGAATGTTGTAACAATTTGAAGGGCCTTCAGACAAGGGGAAGTAGCGGAGAGTTCTAAGAGGAGGACTAACGTAATTAGGACGAGATGCATTGCCAGGTTTGCCGCCTGTATATCCAAAGTCCTTATACCAGAGGGTACTGGTGGGTCTTGTTTGAACATTTTGACGAGCCCCGCAGCTTATGCGCATAGCAAATGGTGCTGCAAATAATCCAACCAAATTTGAGAAGAGAAGAAAAAGAACACGAACATTCTAAGGAATAAGAATGAAAATCCTTATCGTCTGATATGTACAAGCAATCATTCTGATTCACTGAAACAAAGATTAACCAAAAGAATAACACAAGACAAGTAGGAACTATCCCTTAATCAATATGCATTTTATCAGATTGTCAATTGGGGGTGGCAAATGAGTAATGCGATCGAATCCTTGAGATGTTCAAATTATACGCGGCAGCTTGTACCTTATGCCGGAGTTCATGATGAAAAAGTAGAGTGAACTCCAGAAACGTGACACGGTACCAGTTATCCCCCAGAACACTGATTTCACCCTTCCAATAACTCGAAAGTCAAATTCTAAAGAAAAGCGTTCGAAATTGATCGACCATTTTTTACATGTTGAATTCTTAACAACTAATATTCTCAAAGTCAAAGCATTCAACAGCAAAGTCAAGTAACGCTCCAGACAACGCATTAAGCAAAATATCATTGGCTTCTAATGATTTATTACAAAGTGGTGACCAAGTTCTTTCTTTAAGTGGGAAAAAAAGGATTTAGATTCAGATTAAACGCGTAGACGGAAAGAAGTTTCACCATTTTGCCCTCCCCTGGAGCGGCATGAATTTCTCAGATGCCAGCTGGGATTAAATGGCTGGACATTATTAGAATCGAATCAAAACCAAGTAAAAATACAGATGAGGGGAGAGAATACGGCGCTGTATTCCAATCTCAACTCAAGCACTACATTACTAAGTCATCCACCTTAGCTATGATGAATAAGAACTGTAGGAGATCAACCCCACATCAAAATGGAATTCAATCGCATTTAAGGATCACAGCTACTCGGACCAAAACCAGCGAAATGGGGTGGAAATATAGAAACGCGAACTCAAAATCTCAAGCATCGCAGCCTTTCAGCGTTTCCACGCGTGTTCGAATAAACAAAGAAAAGGAGATAAGGGCAACCGAAGCTTACCTCGGCGCGCTGAACCCGAAGTAAAAGCTGAGCAGAGTATGAGCATCCATGGAAGGAGATATCTAAGCATTGTGGAAAGTGAATTCCTGCTTCTCTCTAGCACTGCCTCCTCCTTTTTCTTACTTTACTTCATATCTGCACTTCCTCCTTGCTTTTCCAGAGAGAGAGAGTAGTGCTTGCTTAAATGCTGGCCGGGTCTGAACTCTGAACTTTATGACACCGTTGAGAATTTACTATTGCTAATCTTTACGCAATTAGTTGTCCCGTGACTCCTTAACGAGGCTTTATCACCACCGCTGGCGCGTCAACTGTCCATTATCAAAATTATTATCACATAAAGATGTTATCTTTAATGAGGAATTTGAGCAGCTTGCGTCGGAATCGTTCTGTGGTCCCACTTGCTGACTGGTCTTGGGTTGTGAGATGACTGATAGCTTGAAAAGGAACAACAAATATTAGAGTATTGTTATTTTATTATAATAATTAGTAAATTAGTAATTTCACTTTTTTTCCTCCAATATCATATTAAATAAAATAACTCGTTTACATAACAACAGCATATGTAATAAGTAATCCAGCGTTGGTTTTTATACGTCATTTCATTTATTATGTGATAATGGGAGAGCACATTCAGTAATACTGACGTCAGCATAATTCATTTGTTTTTAATGAGTTTTGCATGGATTTATTTTAAATAGGATTTTGTTGACCGGATATTTTGAATAGAATAGGATGCTTATAATTTCGGCAAAATAAAAATTCATGAAATATATTATAATAATATGTCAACTCAAGGAAAAGGATTTGTATGACCAGAGTTAAATTTTTTACTTTGCTCAGGAGCATGCTCAATTTCAAAACCTAAAATAACATGCAGAATCCAACTTGAAATTTATTTCTAATCAGTTGGTTTTGACAAGATTCCGTGGAAACTTATAATATAGTAATTCATTAATTTTGGTCTCGAAACACCTCATGTCATGAGATCATTTTTACCTTAAAACTGAGAAGTTGAAAACGACATGTAATCATCATTTTACAACATAAAACCATGCTGGCGATATCTACATTCGTAGATACTAAATCAAGCATCAATCATTTTTTATTGATTGTTCTTTAAAAAGCTAGGGGCATGATCACGAGTGCATATCACTATATCTAAATATGGCGTCCTAGATCACAAAAAAAGAAATGATGATTGGTAATTCTATTCCTAGGGAGTTTGATTTATATGATGTCAAATGAAAGGGAAGGGGGGAAGCCAAAAAAAAGAAGGAAAAAAAAAAACAAAGAAAATAACAGAGAGAGAAGAAGTGGCTTGCTTGGGCAATTGAAAATAATTACGAAGGCAAACTACCACCCACCTCCTTAATGTTATTCTTAATAGCATATACTATTGTAGCTAGTTATTTTTTATATTAAGTATATTTATATGAAGTTTAGGTTTAAACTCAAAGTTGATATTTTTGTGTGAGAGGGTATATCTAAATTGATTGTTTTTTTCAAAAAAATATATTAAAGAATAAAAATTATGTGCTACGAGTATGCCGGAAAAAGAAGTCACCAACCAAATAAGAAATCCAAGATTCATCAGAACAAAAAAATCGCAGTCAAGAACTGAAAAACAAATGTACGTATGAGAGTTCTTTTATCGATATTTTTTAGTTTAAAAATTAGTATAAATTCATTTTATCATAATTTAAATTAATCTAATTCAAATCACACCACCCTAACACAATATCAAAACCAAATCAAACTGGTCAAGACGGTATTTAGAAACCCTAGAAACACTTTTAAAAAAATATTTTTATGTAAATCGAGTTAAAACTTTTTTTTGTATGTACTTTATATACGATAAAATTATTTTTAAAATCCTAATTAGATTTTCATTTAAATACTTTCTAAATAACAAACCGAATACATGAATCATTTTCTACAAATGCAAATCTGTGAATTTGGTTGGATATAGATTTTACACAAAATCAAGTCAAGCGAAGAAAGGACACTCTTAGTTTTACCCCTATTATTATAGTGTATCTCCATATTTTGTAAGATTTTTAGATTCTGAAAAAAAAAAAAGAGTTTTAGATGATAAGGTACAAAATACTATACTCGTACTCCCAAGACTTGACTAGTTATTTTCTTGAATACCCCTATCCTAGTAAGCGAACAAAAATCTGGGTTTGGGTTTTGATGGTTCCTGCTCCAAATTTTGCGCCCTACACCGGAAAACGATTCGCGGCTGGCACGTTGGAGAGGCAGTGGCGGGATCTCTGTTCAGTTTCCAGCCGGCAATTTCTTGCCCACCTAAATCATTCCGGCATCAAAGCAGCAAAGGTGCCCAGTGGCCGTGTGTATAGGATCTCTGGCCTCCAATGTCACTCTCAAAATCTCCGGTTGCTGCCGATGAGGATAGCGACCCATCGATTGAAATTGAAGTAGAGGAAGATCCCGAGGAAGAGGAAGATCCTGAGGAAGAAGAATACGAAGAAGTGGAAGTAGAGGAAGAAGTGGAGGAAGAGGAGGGGGAGGAAGAGGGAGCGCAAGATGAAGTAGAGGAGAAGGGAGAGGAAGAGGGAGAAGAGGAGGAAGTGGAGGTAGAGGAGGAGGAGGAGGAAGAAGTGGAGGAGGAGGTGGAGGAGGTGAGGAGGAGGAGGAGGAGGAGGAGGAGGATGCCAAATTTGCGGTGCCAGAACCTTCAGCAGATGCCGCTAAGGACCCTGAAGGTTATTTAGTTCATAATCACTAATTTTATTCAGTATTTATCTGCCTTTTAAGTTCATCTTCACACATTTATGAGACGCTATCGCAAACTTTTACTTTTTCACTGTGGTTGAACCTGTTTGCATGTAATGCTAAATGTGAATGCCGTGTTGTGCTTGATATTTCTTTGTTTTTTAAAAAAATGTTGTGCTCTTTTTTCTTCAATCTTGTTTGATCTTTCTTTGAGGTATAGAGGGAAAGTGTAATGGCGAGTGCCAAGGGAGGAATTATTGGTCTGGTTTCTGGTAGCAGAGGCTGAACCAACTCTGGCTTCTTCTTCTATTACGTTGGAGGATAATCAATAGCAAGTTTAAAGTTGTTTTTCATTTTTTTCCCCGTATATATAGATATATATATTTCTGGATTGGGAATGTACATGATAAAATGCGAACTCTGGTGTTGAAACATAGTAGTGGAGTAGGTTATTGCATTTTCACGAGTGTCCTGTTGTACTTTCAAGCGTATCAAATTACGGGAATTAGGGACCTTTTGAGAAAGCTGTTTTCCTATATAGCCTCTTACATATTTAGGTGTCCCTTCAGTGGTTAATCTCTCCTCTGTTGTTTTCTGGGATCCTTGGTTGATAAGGTTATCAGGCTTTTGAGCCAATGGATTTTCTTATCACGAAAGCCTGTCTTGCTGATTAAAGATTTCTTTTTTAATCTGACCAAGGTCAGTTTGGTTTGAGGCCGAACCTTGAACTGACCCAATCTTATAAATGAACCAAACCAAAAGAGCGTATGAAATCGAGTGAACTAACCTTGGTTCATGGTATAGTGTGATTCTAATGTATAGTTCCAAACTTTTTCATTTGTTGACTGTATGATATATGGATAAATTATAGGCACTAGATTACATCTGAGAGAGAACACGAAAATTATATTTTATTCAGACTTGTGTTGGGGCTTTCATCTTTAGCGGACAGGAGGCATGGAGAAGTTATTTCTTGAGATTTGGGCTGGGAGATAGCAAAGGAAGAAATACGAAGTTGGGAGGTGTGATATATTTGGTTTGGTTCAGCATGGTTTGAATGATTTGGAGATTTTCAAAACCACAAGCTAAAGTTACTAAGCTGATTGTATTGCTTTGAAACTGAATAGGGCAATGAGATTGATGGCTTGCTCCAGTTGGATGAAGACCTTTTTATGCATAAGTAGGTAGCAACTAAACTAGTCAAGTCTATTGGTGCTGTTAATAACAAACTTATTGTTGGGGAGGCTAGCTAGTTTTAGTTCTTAACTAAAAAACTCTTGTGTAGTTGCATTACAGAAGTAAGGAAGTGGCTGTGAATATGATGGTTGATCCAATTATGTAAGCCTGATTCTCCCTCTATTCTCTTATTATTTATATTTCTTATCTCTTATCTCTTGTCAAGTTGTATTGGTGCCACCAATTCTTAGATTGATGGTAGATGTGACTGAACCAGAAGCTTTCGTGCGTGACTAGGAAGATCAACTTTGTTAACGGAGTAGTTGGTGAAAGTAAAGTGACCTTTCTAGGAGTTTGAGAGATTCAAAGGGAGGATGCAAGGAAAGCAATTTAATCAAAATGCCTATTTGGGCTAACGATGGAGGAATTAGAGGAGAAATTTAATTCAAATGCTATTGAAAATGGGACTTGTCATTGAATTGGTTGAAGCAATGGTTTAAGGGTTAGTAGTCCCATTGGGGTCAAATTGATTATAATTAAAATAATATAATTTGATTAACATATACAAAAATATTTATATATAACCATGGAAAAAGTGGTATTTAAATAAAAAAAGGCGTTAATTCATAAGCAAATGGAACATTCATGCTTAAATCCCATATACAACAACAACAAAGCCTTATCCCACTAAATAGGACTGGCTACATGGATCACATGGTGCTATGGTGATCTATCACCAAGTTTTAGATAGGTTGTTATCTTACTCAATAACTTCATTGAATGTTCTCTTCAGTCTTCTTCTATTCCTTTTTAGAGGATTCTATACTGCTTGATCAACTCTTCTGACTGGCACATGGCCATCGTAGGCAATAGTCAAGTGAGAATCAATGACATGGTTCAGCATGGTCCCCTTCAGAGTTCAGAATGCTTTTGTTTTTATTTCCTCTAGCAATTTTCAGGTCTTAGTCTTCATTTCTAGACGCTTAGCAATTGTAATGATAAATGACATTGGCAAATTCATTTTATTCTGATCATTGATCAATTGCTTTGTTCATAATCCACTTTGTTGAACAACTACTTCAGTAGCATTCTGCCACAGTCAAGTCTTTCATATTTTGCCCTGTTGGACGTAATTTTATTGGCTGTATGGCGTAATTTAAAGAATCCAATTCATTCATTTTGTTTTTTTTTCATTTAGTTTTTTTTTTTTTTTTATCCCGTGGTAGATTTGAGCCGACATATGGAATCTGAGGGGCAAGAGAGGAACTTCAGGCTAGTTTGTTGTGTGGCAGTAAACCCTGATACAGTGTCTGCAGAAAACAATGACTCCTATAAGGTTCTTACAGTGGAAAAAGAAGATTTTCGGCCAGAACATGTGACTCGAAGTAGTCCAAATTCAAGAAATAATGTGGGTACTGCTGAAGATGATAAACATCAAGGGCTAGATGTCGCTAATGAAAGTAAAGGATCCCCTCTACAATGTAAAACCTTTGAAGCCTACAACAAACCAAGTTGTGATAGCAAAGCTTACTTATGTGGTCTTAAAGAGTCTGGGACAGCCAAGTCATCCAATGATGCTGGAAAAGACATGGCTAAAAAAGATGTGGCTATTGACTTCCAGCAGAAAAGCTGCTGTGTTGAGGATGCTTACGTTGTCACTCAGAATTCTATAAACAAAATAAAGCAATCAGACGTGCATTCAGGGGATGAAACAAAGCAAATGACCTCAAGGTCTGGTCATTATGGTTCTCTACGCTCTTTTGCATTTGCTTATCATATTACCAGAGTGTAACGCACATGGCATAATGCTTCTCATGGAAGTAACTTGTTTAACTTTAAGAATGCTCGTAAATCATATTACTTCTATTTTTTAACCTGTACATTTTCCAGATTTACTTCCCCTGATATGAGGACGCAGAGTCTTTCTCCCTGTGCTGAGATGAAAGATGTAAACAAACGGCCAGCAATTATATGCAGCTTTTTTGCTAAAGGATGGTGTATCAGAGGTAGTTCATGTAGGTTTCTTCATATAAAAGATCATGTAAATAATACTGGCCAGCAGGCTGCAGGAGACTTGGTTTCTACAAATTGCAAGAGAGAAGGGCAACCGGAGGAAGGTATATCATATAAAATAAGCTTGTAACCCAATCTGTCCAAGAATCTTCTCTGCAAAGATATTTCTAATAGAAGTGCTCTCCTGTAACAGGTCTGACCGGCAATGCTGAGACATCAGGAATGTCTGACGCTCCAGTTCCATTGGCTGCTTCATTGGCGAGCTCTTCTTTGCATTCTTCTGAATTTTCTCTAAAAGAGACCATCCGTAATGAGCAAGAAGCAAGCCCAAGTCAGCATCCATCTCAAGATAAACATAAGTTTCCATTACTTTTGCAAGAGGACTTGTCTTCTAAGAACCATGTCTTGCCAATTGGTAGAGACAGTTCTATATCCAGGGATCGATTGATCCTTGAAAACAGATCTAATTTTAACGCATCAAACAACTATTTCAGCAGGAATCGCTCTTATCCATCCTGCGTGGAGGGATTGGCTCCCATTGAAAACCAGCACGTGTACAACAAATATGTTTCCCAAGTTTCAGCTCCATCAAGTTATTCAATGTCTTCGAATTTATCTAATGGGGCAAATTCTTTGGATGCTCAAAAGCTGTTGAAAAGTGGCAAAGAATATCATGCTCCTACATCCACTTTCTTAGGTTCAGAATGGGAGGAGATGCCTCTAACTAGTTCATCCGGAGTTCAGCCACATGTCACTGGATATAAAAGAAAAATATCTTTTTATGATTGGGAGCCATCTGTACCTTTTCGGCCATCATTTTTTATTACTTCAGCCAGTATATCCTCTTCTGGTGACATGTATGATCCATTTCATCCTTGTGTTGAGATAACTAACATAGGAGATGGATCCTTGAAAGCTTCCATTTTTATTCACGGGCCTCCCATCCAGGCTTCATCTCATGTGCGGACATATGGTGATTGCCCTGGAGCTGGGGACAAGGTGGCTGATATCAATGACGACAAGAGTTCTGTTTCTTCTCATCACAGATTTTATGAGAATGAGGCAAACAAGAGTGGTGTTCCTTCGGAGAAAGATGACTGTGCACATGAAACAGAGACAACAGCCAGAACCTATCTAAACTCCTATAATGGTAAAGCAAGCATTGGAGAAAATACCCTTGCTGTTGAAGATAATACGAAAATTGAAGTTGAACAAACAGATAATGATGCTAGATATCGAGGTGAAGGATCAAAAAAGAGAAGAGTAGATATGGCTAAGAAAAACAATGAAATTAATGTTGATTTTCAGATCAATGGCAATATGCGGAATGATTCGAAGGCTCTAAAAGTTTTTCGTACAGCTCTTGTAGATTTAGTGAAGGAGTTGTTAAAACCATCTTGGCAAGAGGGTCATCTCAGCAAGGATGCACATAATACAATAGTTAAGAAATCAGTTGACAAAGTTATTAGCACCCTACAACCCCACCAGATTCCAGCCACCATAGATGCAGTTAGCCACTATGTTTCTTCATCTCGGTTGAAAATTGCCAAGCTTGTTGATGTAAGTGTCCTCTTTTGTTTTTGTAGATAGCAATGATACTATGATGCCATTTGTCCTCCATTTGACAGTAATATCTCTAATTTGCAGGGATATGTCAATAAATACAGCAAGTCTTGAAATTTTACCACCAAACACTTCCGTTGTACAGTTTGGAACAGTGTGAGATCCAGACTCATGTACAATTTGGTTGATTGTTGAATATTCGAGATTTATGAGGAATATTTTGAATTCTCTTTCAAAATTTTTGCTTCGTATTCTATCTGTACTTTTTGCTTGCTTGTTTGATTTCCAGCGACTGCATGCTTTAGACTGGGTATGATATTTTAATCAGTTAGTTTATTATTGGGTAGTGAAGGGGCTTTTATTAAAAAAAAATTTATTAAGATAATATGTTTACCTTGTTTGCATTTAATTTGGTGTGCAATTAATATATTTCTTCTTCGTATTTTCGCTTTTTTGTGTGTACTTTCTGGTATCATAGGTTTTGACAATTAGGAGTTCATGAATAGAAAGGGTGAGCTCTATCTTGATGAAATAATGAAACAGAGGAGAAAAATAATCAAGTTAAATCTAAACGGATGATGTCCACATGTTTGATTAGCATATATTAAAAGTATAACATCCTAATCGCCAATTGCTAGTAAGCATAAGAAAAATATTTAAGGTTTTACTGTTTTGAGGCTGCTACTGCAGTTACTGAGGTTGGTTGCTAATTATTTGACATTCTCTCTTTGCAATTGCATAATAAACACTCTGATTGTATTTTAGCATTTTTATCCTTCGACAGTTTGTGGTTCAGCCATGCCTGGTATACTGACATGGCATTTTAGGCATGGGGATATTTAAAACTTAAAGGATAAAGAATTTCCTTCTGGAACTTGTCCTTGTCCCAATGCTGTCCTTTTCCAGCTTTTTTCTTGCATTGCAAAGTTCATTATGTTGCCTGTGTTGTCTGTTTGCGCACTTGATCTCTTACTACTGCAATGAGTTGCTGGTAATGAGCATCTGAAACTGGGAGGGTGTTTTATGAAAGACTGGTTCGATCGGAATGAAATGCAAGTGCTTGTAGTTGAAGTTGACCGTTGGAAACCAGCAGATCAGCAGGTGTGATCATTTGGACTCGCAGCAGAGTTGGAGTTTGGTCCAGTGCCAGCAAAGGAGAATTCTTGGTTTGTCTTGCTTTCTTGGTCAGCAGGGGAGTTTGATTTTTGGCTTGGAATGGAAACGAGGCCAACAAAAGAGAGGGAGTCTCGTGAAATGCTACGATCAGTATCAGCTGCAACATCTGAGATGAGCCTGTTTCTTTGACAGGCTTTCCATTGCATTGTGCTAGACTTTGCACGGAAACTTTATATGCTTAATTGCCTATTCGAGCTGAGAGTACCTTTTTTGGTCGATCGGATTCTATTTTGCTGACTAGAAGTAGTTGTTTTTCATTGTTATCCTCTTTCTGCTAATGATTCATTCTGTTTACGCACAAACTCAATTGCAAAGTTAACCGATGAGAAACTTTAGTCCTGCAGATATTTTCACTCTATACTATTGTGGCGAGTTTCCTGTATGTTTGACTGTCACCCCAACTAACATCGTTTGCCATGCTGGTCGAAAAGGTAATTCGGATGACAAATTTGCAATTATTCATATTGATAGTCAGCTTCTCTAATAATGATTTCTTGGCAATCGAAACTTGAGGGGATGTACGCTAGCCTCTTGGCAGGCTCTGTTTCTGCATTAATCTCTTATGTTAATGCGGTAGACGTATCCATGACCGGTTCAGACTTTAGTTTCATGACCGATAAAATCGGAGTACTGTATTTGCTATTGTTTAATGTGCCAAATCGTACCAACCTTTTGTTTGGACCATACATTCGTAGGGTTGCGCTTATGGGTGGATATTAAGAAGGCGAAGATGATGTAATGAGCCCGTGTCGTGTTGTGAAACAGCCCATATCCTGTTCAGGTGGTTGATACTTTGAGGATATGACTAGTGTGTTGCTAGTTGGGGAGACAAGTTACGATTTACCCTGCAGTCTTTTAATATGAAGCCGTTGATGCAATCCTTTATGATGGAATGTTCTTTTCAAGAGATGATTTATATTTTAATGTGCTGAAGTACATGCAGATTGGAATAGAACGTAAATCAAAATAAAATTTTGGTTTGGAAATGACCTTTGCGTCTTTAAATAAAATAAATAATAATACTAGGAAAGATAATATGTGAATTACCTCGTTCTCCTTTCTGCGCAATCAAAATGAAAATTTTTTGCCTTCCGTGTACCGGACGCCCCAAAGAGTGAGGAGGTTTTCATTGAAAAGGGGGGAAAAAAAATACATTTCAATTAAATTTACCACTTTAGAGGATATGTGCATGTTTCTATTGTCTTTCTTTCTCCGTTTTTCTATACATGTATATGCATTCATTTATTTCTCAATGCAAAAGATCCCAATCCATATATTCTCCGAGACATGTACAACACAAAAAATTTAACTAATAACATATACATTATGTACTAGTAAACAGATTTTTAAATATGTTGAACAACTTTCCTTCTAAACATTTATGAGGGAAAAAGGGAAAGGTCCTATTAATAATGAAAGAGCCTCAATTTTAGACGGAAATAATTAAAAGCAGTAAAATTCTTCCTCCCAATCTGGACGCTCATGGTTTTATGATCATATGGTAAGTGACACACGCACACTTGTGTTAGTTTGCCAGGTGCACGTCGGGGCTCCCAACTAAGATTCCAATACCGAGGTTTGGGCATGAAGGAAGGAGCGATGGTCCAGGTGTCAAAGTTTTGATGGGTAGGCCAAGTCTGAAGAATAGCACAAACGTCAAAGACTTGTTTGTCTCTCACTCTCAAACGTCTTCATCATCATCCATCCTTATCCATTGATGCTTCTCGCACTCTCCATGGTTTCCTCAGTGCAATACAACCACAACGTTCCACTTGGAACCACCATAACCCTTCTTCCCCCCCCCCCCCTCCTTTCTATTATATATGTACACGAGCACAGTCACACGCACGCATAGAGGTTTCAAAAACAAACACAAGACCACATCATAAAATCATCAGCGTTAAGTTTAAGAGACGTTTAAGGATGTTGAAGAAGATGTGGGATGACGTCGTGGCTGGCCCTGAACCTGAGCGTGGACTTGGGAGGCTCAGGAAGCTCAACACCAAAGGTACGTACGTAGCAACAATCTAAGCAACCAATTGGGTTGTAGTACGACATATAGGTTATATATGTAGTGATTGATATGTATCCATGTTGTTTGTGTGTGTGTGTGTGTGTGTTCAGATGGTGAAGGAGAAGGAAGCATGTTGATGACATCGCCGACGTCGCAGGCAACGACGCCAAAAACACCGTCGACGCCAACGTCGGCGAAGAAAGGGGACAACGTGTGGAGGAGCGTGTTCAATCCAGGGAGTAACTCTGCTACCAAGAGCATTGGAGCTGAGATGTTCGACAAACCTCTCCCAAATTCTCCTACTGTTTATGATTGGTACGTATATAATGCAATATCACCCCATATTTATATGCAGTTCTTAAGTGATTATAAGGTTATATTATTTGAATGTTTTATTACAATTGCACTAATTCTTTTAGGAAGTATATAGGAGATTACGTGATACAAATTTAAAATTGAGAATTTCACTGAAGACACAGCTGTGCGAGCCAAGTTCTATCAGCTTCTTTTGCTCAACGAATGCGATTAGAGGAAAAGTATTTGCAGGATTAAGTTGAGAGATTTAATATTTGTAGAGTCAAACCAAGAGAAGAGGAATTATCTCTTGATGGTTAAATCAAAATTTATTTGTTTTTTGAAAATTAAATTAAGATGTGAATATTATGAACTGCAGCATGTGTTTACGAAAGTTATTTACTAAAATTGATAAATTAATTATAAAAATACCTAAATATATCATCATAGCGGCTATAAAAAATATATCATCATACCTTGAAATTTATATATAAGGTTTTTTCAAGTTAATATATCAACTCTAACGTATAACATAATTTATTTACTTTTAAATTAAAATTAAAATATTAAAATTTCTTTAATTTTTAGAATTATTTTTTTAATTAAAAAAAGTGTCAGATACGTAAAACTCTCCGGGAAAATCATGTCACCTTTTGACTTTTGTCAAAGTCCCTTGTTTGTTCAAAAAGGTAAATATAGTTTCTGAATATTTAAAGTTAAAATTACAAATAAGTTCTAAATAAGGAAATTAATTATTTCCTCATTCCCACAATTGTTTCCTTTTTAGTTCTTATGATTAACTTGGTCAATATAAAAAATACTTGTGTTTTATGACGTGGCAGGCTCTACAGCGATGACACCAGGAGCAAGCATCGCTAACTTGACTGCGGGTCGCATGGTCCTAATGTCTGCCACGTGTACTCTGTTTGTCGTGTCCTACTTTGATTCTAGCCCGTGTCGTTTTATTTCATTTCCTGATACTATCAGGGTTTTGCTGCGGCGGATTCACTGGAAGTCTGCATGTTCAATATTTGTGAGAGGGAACACTCCTTTCCGATCACTTTCTGATATTTGCATCACCGTTTGTCTTAATCATCTTGCTGTTAAATGATAAATGAATAACATATGAACGAGAACTTTGAAAGAGACTCCTTTCTCTTCTTGATATCATCAACGTAAAATTCATAACAAAATAAACAGATAAAAATACAGATCAACGAAGACCCTCGAGGCATAACTTGAATATATATATATATATATAGAGAGAGAGAGAGAGAGAGAGTAATGAATCCATCATATTATCTGCAGATCAGAAAGGAGTCCAATCTTAAGAGGATACTGTGAATGGTAGATTCTAGCGAAAAACTGGTTTCATGATACAATATTCATTTCGGGAGCAGTATCCATTTTTGTTCCTCCTGGTCGTACCACCTCCATAACCCTGCATTTCCATGGCCAATCTTCTCTCCAAGTCGTGTATCTCAAATCTCCTTCTCAGATTCTGCCTTCTCATGATCCCACCACTCAACTTCTCCTTCCTGCTCTCTGATCTTCTGCTTCTTACCGGCACTGGCATGGCTTCCAAACCCATTAGCTTAGCCACAACCCCAGGCTCACACCACACCACGCTCTCTCCTGCTATAGTTGCAGGCAAAGACAGAGTCTTTCTAAACCTATTCCTCCTTAACGCATTCTTGTCTTCGTCTTCCTCTTCTTCGTCAAGCAGAGACCTTCTTCCTACGCTTGTGTCACAGCAAACTGAGTTTCTTCCTTCTTGGATACCAAACCTCGATCTGTACATGGCATCCCTACCGTCAAGTGAGAATCTTGGATATTGATTCAAGGCGTTTCTGGCAGATCTTAAGATGTCGGAGTTGTTCACACAAGACATTCTTCCCCTCATGATTCCATCGTTGTAGTGATTATTGAGCTTAGATTTCCTAGCAATCTCTTCCTCCAGTTCCAACTGTAGTATCAGATCCTCCAGAGTTGGCGAGCTTTGCCTTGGATTTTCATCATTAGTGCCACTGTGTTGGTTCAGAGTGGAGGTTGAGCCGTTGGTGTTGCAGAAAGCTCTGATACCTTTCTTCATCTTGGAGCCCAGAGGGTTCTTGAGGAAGAAGGGCATGTCCTGAGAACTCTATTATGGTTTTGAAGGAGAAGAAGAAGAGATGTATGTGCATGATTTTGAAAGTGGGGTTCCGAGTTGATCTTTAGTATAGAGGAGAGGTTGCTAGAGGAATTCATTAGAACGTGAATGGATTGAATGGGAGCGGTGTGGCGGTAACTTAGTGAAGCATCTGGTGGAGTGAGTGATATTAGATGAGCCTTAATGGCTCTCACATGATGCATAAGTAGTGAAGGCTTTCATCACAGGTTTTACGTTTGTCTGCAAGTTTTAAGACACAGAATGTGAAAAGTTTGAAAAGTCACCTCATTGACCTCTTAGTCACTATAATTTTCACTCGTTATTAGCTGAGCGATATTATGAACATTTATTATAGTCGCGGGAGTACAATGGATGCAAATAACGAACCGTTCAGTCTCACCACATCATTACATATACGATTTGAAAATATGAGATTTCTGCCTACTTAATCGGAACCTTTACTCTTAATGGTCAGAATTTATTTAGTTATTTTTCCTCTTCTTTGCTCCTTGAAATAACGAATGTAATACAGCCGACTTCGAAGTTGTAACAAAATAATAAGAACCTTCAACCAAATGATTTATTTAATGCCAATAGGTGGCTGAATGAATAAATCACCCAGAACAATAAAAGCTATATATGCAGATGTGGATGACACAGAACAAACATTAATCAACCCCAAATGTTAAGTGTACCTCCCCCCCCCCCCTTTTTCCGGGTGTGCCTGAAATGCTGAGTCTAGTCTTGAAGAAACAATAAGGTGTAGTTGCGTATCATCACAGAATAAAATATTTGCTCATTAAAGTAGTAAAATTTGCAAAGTTTGCAACCATAATTTAGACGTTGTATATGTGAGCTTTCAAACCTCGCTTTTGCACTATGCAATTCACGGCACTATCTGACTTGTAAAACCCAAATACTGATATGATCTTCGCGTTGGTGTTGATTTTTTTTTTTTTTGGGGAAAAAAAAGGAAGAGAGGGGGGGGGGGAAGGCGTGCGCGCTCCTACCATCTCTGTAAAGCAATAATTAAAAAAGACCCCGACCATTTCAGGAGAGCTGCACACAACCACACAATAAAAGACACACCAAAGCTTTCATGCGGATTGTAAGAAACCTAAAGTGTGTCAAATGTAGTTACATTTGAGATTTGAGATTCTCATTTTCTGTGCACTATACAAACAAATTTCAGCCCTTCTACAGTATGAGGGAAATATTGAAAGGAACAAGAAAAAAATACGAATGATAAAACTGCCTCAGACGAATTACCGTTTCAGTATTAGTATAATTATGCAATTAACGAAGAATTGGTTTAGGTGATGATCGCACGTCATTCACCTCGAGCTAGACGCAGTTGAGTCCGACAGCCTCCTCTTATACGCCATAAGCTGCAAAATACAGGGAAGAGAGCGAGGGTTAATAAAAAGCTAACTAGTAATTCTTAATGTATATGCCACATGTAGTCACGTCCATAAGGTTTACCACATGGCCACGGCTAAAATGATCAGGTTTAAGTTCGGCCAACGTTTCCTGCTCTCTCAACACTTGCACATTATCTTTGCCCATGTCTACTGAGCCTGCAGCTGTAATAATGTTGGCTTGCTGTTCTTTTACCAAGCATATCTCAACCTCATCAGCCTGTACAGCTATTTGAGGGGCAACATACTGTAGGAAGTAAAAAAAAAAAATTAGAATTAAGATTACGTGCTAAATAGGCACATAATTGCTGCAAAGAGAATAACCTGGCACAGGTGCCTGACAGACAATGTAGGTCTGCAGCAGAGGTATGGCTTCTGCAAACTTGGTATTCTTTTCTCATCAAAAGGCACAAGCATGAGGCAGACACCCAACTGAAACAATATAAATCACATCAACAATCCTATTATTGTGGCGGTGTGAGTGTTCAAGTAGAAACGAAATTCCAAAATCCAATCATAATGGTAAATGATAAAGACATGGATTAAGCAACCCCTTTGATGAATCTGATGCACCGATTTAGAAGTTAACATGAGACATCCAACTAGTTGCACCAGGTTGAAAGCTACAGAGGTTTTAATAGTCTATTCCAGCAGAAGCCAGATCGCAACTGCGGAGAAAATTTAATTACCTCATCATCGTTTTCTTCCAAGACACGGAGATTATCAATCAATTTGGCAAGGCGACTATTTCTGGCATTCTTGCCATTGACTCGGGTGTGACTCCGGTGACCATTTTTTCCCCAGGCAAGTGTACTAGAAGGACTCAGGAATTCTCTACTTACTTCAGGAGCATTTTCATCACTAGCACCATCTGCAACAGTAGTTGCAGAATGCGGAGGAAATTGTGCTTCTGCCCCTCTTTTACATCTTTTTGGTTTGGTTTCTATTAGCTCATCACCAGAAGAAGAAACCTTAGCCCCATCATCATCATTCATTTCCTCAGTGTCATCAGATCCCTGAAGTTCAATGGTACTTCTACAGTTTCTTCTCGCCCTCACATGTGAAGCTCGATAGCTACCTTGTGACCTCCTTGTAATCGTTTTAGGATTGCGTTTTTTACCCAGTGCTTCTGCTTGCCGTTGAAGAGTCTGAGCAATAGATTCTTGGATCTGCTCAAAAAAGATAAAACCCTTTATATATATTATAAACGTTAGGAAGTCGTCGTCGTCGTCATCATCAGTGATCAACAATCAAGCATTAAAAGAAAAACGTTTTGTCATTTGATAATCGTTTACTGATTATCATTTGATAATCAGTAATCAGCTATCAAAAAAGAAGACTTACTCACCTGCTTATTGCGAACTTTTTCATCTTCATGCAGAGCCAATTCCTAGGCCAGAACCTTGTTAATACCATTTCTTTCCAGGTAGATGAAATAGTAAATTTTTCAATATGCAATGAAGTAAATCCATATTACCTCCTGTTCATACTTGTCTATATCTGGATAAAGAGCAGCAATTAAAGCATCATAGTTTGGGTCATCTCTCAGTGAGCGTCGGCTAGCACAATGTGTGCGGCATGCAGGGCATTCATTGTTGCTGCAACAAAACAAGTCTTGATTATACATTGGAGGGAAGGGGGGAAAAAAACTTCTGCACCCAGACTTAAAATATCCCAATTGCATATAATTCATCTCTGAAATAATGTACAGAAGGTAGCACAAACCCAAGGCGCATGGATTTGTCTATACACTCCCTGCAAAAGCGGTGCAGGCATTCCATTACAGTTCTTGTTTTTCGAATGATGCCTATACATCAAACAGAAGCAATCAATCAATTCTACATAGTTTGATACCAAGGCAAGTAAACTAAAATAAAAAATTAAAACGCTGCTTCCTGCACAATTTGCACAAAAGTACTCAAAACTCCATGCCCCAACATGCCAAAAAAAAAAAAAAAAGCAACATAAATACAATCCCTGATGGGAAAACACAGATTTATTTCTTCCTTTCCAGTTTGTTGGTTTCTTGTTGAATTACAATTCGAATTTCTAGATAGCCAACTATTTCTCAAACTTGAAGGTATTTCACTGGCGCCAAGATTTTCTGCTGTTTTTGTTCCTTGTATATATTCCAAAGATAAAAAATAAGATCCCTCTAGAGTCACATTTTACACATGCGACAAGAGCAGAGTGTTCAAACTCAAAAGTCAACAAAGAGTCACTTTCATGCCCAACATGAAATGGGTTCCCGTATAGGCTATGACGCAACACTTCAAATAGCACTTGAAACATCAAATTTTGTTTCATCCTCATGTTCATGCCGCGCCCCTCGCCTATGTTGGTTTTCATGCTTTATTAGGAATTTTGTTAAGCATTATTTTTAACAAAGAAAGAAAGAACAAACATGCACACCTAGGCAGATAGGGCATTGGACTTCCTTGCGTACATCTGACAATTTTATAATAACAAACCTGCGAATAAATACCAATATAGTGAGGTATTAGCAAATTGTATAATTTAATATCAATACATAATATAATAGAGAATCTATAACAACCTACATTATTCATAATACGTGAATAATATGATTCATTATTTAGACTTCATTCCATGCACAGAGAAACGAGGCTAATTATAACTTTAAAGGGGATGAACCATTGCCAAAGGCCATATTCTCAAGTTTCTGGTCAAAGTGTATGCATTACGCCTTTAGAGATGGTACAGCCATACAGACAGATAAAATTCCTCCTCTGTGGCTGCTTGACTGATAAGAAATAATCAACCTTGGAATTAAAAGGAGGTGCTGAGAAAGATATAGGCGGAAATGTCCTTCTTGAGATTGTATCATTGTACTCAGTAAAACATGTATACCTTCTCAGAAATCATATGAATGCAAAAGCCAATGGTGAATAACAGATCCTGATAACTAATTCTTTTCTAAAGCCCAATAACCAGGATTTTCAGTTTTTCACCATGAATACCATGTAACATCATTTTTTTTTTTTAAAAAACAAAAAGGGTTATCTTATGCATGCATGCACGCACTCACTCACTCATGCATTTCACATTATTTGCTTATGCAGAGTAGCGTGCTCTTGCAATAAACATTCACAAGTAAAGACCGATGGATCATTTGGAGAAACCACATGCCAACAATGACGTGACTTTAGCACCAGATAAAAATGCTTCTCACAGAATAAATTATTCTTCATGGATAACATAACATTCAAATCAACGAGGCTTTTGGTAAAGTTCAGCATGAGTAAGATAATAACAAGATGCCATTTCATGAAGCGAAAGCTTGCAGTGCTCCACTACAGTTGAGTCTCTCTTAAGTGTTCTACGTTTCTCTCCGTGGAAATTTGGATTCAAAATAGAACACGCAACCCAGGCAGATTTAATCCTTCTCAGCAACGGCAAAACAATATTTTCCCCCTAAGAAGAGGAGTAAATGCAATAACAATCCAGCCAACAGCACAGAACAACGTTTCAGTTATCCATATAGATACGAACTCATGTTGAAGTCGAGAAAGTCACAGCCCCACTTCGGAGGATTTAACACCGAAATCCACCAAAAATCAGAACTACAGCTCTTAAACCACGACCAGAAAAGCCGAAGAGAACCCATCACTGATGAATAGCGAAAACCACCCCCAATATTATCGAATGCTCTTAAAATCACACAGACCACATAGTTTATACTCAAGAAAGTGCCGTAAAATGAGATGAGAAAATGTGAAGTAGAACAGACCAAGTCGATCCAGAATCCAGCCCCGCATTCAGAAACAAACAGCAGCATATATAATCGACGGAAGAGGAGGAGAAGGAGAAGGAGAAGGAGAATCGTATATATAGTAAACAAAGAAAGCAAAGCAGAGTAACGAATCAGCTCACATACTCTTCTTTGTCGCCGGTGCTCTCCGAAGGGCTTCGATCGGATTCTGAGGAATACATAGGAACGGGCAAAAACATTATGAAACAACATAATCAACGAAAATTCAGATAAATTGCATGAAGTAACTAGTTCCCGTCGTGAAAATTTTAGGTTGGTTGAGGGTTCTGCGCACAATAACACGTACCCACTCCATCTTCTAGCTTCTCGTGGTGGTTCCTCTCGCCGAGAAAAGCACCCTCTTCTGGTACGTCGAACAAGCGCTTCTGGGCTGGCATTGCTTTTCCTGGAAGCAAAAAATCTGCCAAGGAAAAAACGAAGGCTCCCAAAGCTATGCAATCTGCGGAGGCCGCTGGCTGTGGCTATTGAGATGCGGTGGCAAGGCGTGACTTGATGCCTTGACCTTCGCAGAGAGAGACAGCGCGACGGAGAAAAAGAAAAAGATATGAGAAGGGAGAGAGAGGGGAGCGACGGGGGCGACTCGTGGCTCTACCGAATTTCCTTTATTATATGCAATTTACATGGCTGCGAAGCACAAACCACAGTATCGTGTGTGAGCCCGGGTTATAGAACCGATAATATGTAGCCACGTCACAGAAAGCAGAAATATTTCTGGTCTTATCGATTCTGATTGGTTGGATGTATGGTCCGCGAAGCACTTGAATTTTACCCGATCGTGGATCTGGGTGGCTGGACGCCGGTCTTACTGACTGAAGCCTTTTCAGCGCGAAATAGGTTGGTTGGCTGGCGCATACCATCTTCAGCGATAAATTTCACGATTCTCAAATTAATATTATTATTATTATTCGGATATAAAACTAATAATCTCTATAAAACTATTTTTAGCTCTTGGAAAATAGAGCTTTTTAAAAAAAAAAAAGAGAGAGAGAAGAAAGGATGGCAAGTACAATGGAACCGTAAACAAACACAATGAATATGATTATCAATGTCAGTGTGTAATAATCATCAAGGACAGGAGGAGTACTTAGCAACTAGTGGTATAATCTTTTTTTATTCATTTAATAATTAGGAAAAGTCTATCATTAATGTATGCGTCATGTCAGTTATGCTCACATATTTAGTTTCCATATATAAAATGCGGCTAATAATATGTTTGGCCAAAAAAAAAAAAAAAAACTACGTAGTTGAACACGGTGTACTGTATACCAATAACTGATCATTCAAAATACACACTGCCTTCTTTCATCCTAATTATAAGAACTAGTTAACTAATTTAAGGAGATTAAAAAAAAAGTTAAGTTAGTTATTTGTCATAAATAGGTGTTATCTTTTCTCAACTATCTATGTTAATAAAATATATTGGATAAAACGACTATTGTTATAAGGATTATCTTTAAAAAAATGCATAAATATTAGAGACAAAGTGGATTGGGGTTTTATATTTAGAATCAAAACAAAAGTTAAACGAGGTCCTATATTAAGGACCGGAGGCAGTATATATTACTATTTTTAATTCTTAATAGAAGGCTTAGTTGACTAATTTAAAAAATTTAAGAAACTTAGTTAATTTAGTTATTTGTAATAAATAAGTATTTTCTTTTTAGAATATTCTTACTAATCATGCATATCAGCTAAAACTATTACTATAATGATTATTTTAAAAAAATAGATAAATATTTTACACAAAATGAATTGATTTAGGACCATTAAAAATCAAACTAGCTCTTATATTAAAAACTGGAGATAGTAATATTTAACATGTTTCTCACGCTCATACAGTCAGAAAGTTGAGTTGGCTTGTATTAACTCAAAATTTTAGTTTGACTTCAACTTTATGTATGCACAAGTACGTAATAGAAATATTTACAGCGTGTGAAGTGAGTTGAGCAAAATTTAAACCCCGCCCATAAATATTCCCTCTATCTATGTAGTATAATAAGTTGAATTAATTATCTGTAAAAATTATATATGTTAGTTTTCTTAAAATATCTTCTTAAATTTCGGCCAAAAAAATACATTTTAAAATCATTTCCATTGAAACAACTCTTGATACAAACTCTGCTGACACAATAAAGATAATTTAAAAAGTAAATGATAAGTAAAAAAATAAAATAAATTAGAGTCTTATATTTAAAACCAAATATAATTCTAACCAACTCTTATATTAAGAACTAAATGTAATATTTCTTTTTAATTTAATATAATTAAACACACACGTACAACGTGAGGCTTGAGTTTGGGATCTCATCCGAATGTGTGCAGATTAGAAAAGAAATAGTGTTTGACTCTATTTAAATTTCCTCCCGTATTAAACAAGACATGCTCACATAGACATCTAGCTACCACCTTACGTGTGTGATAATTAATTAGAAGACGCAAAAAAGATGCATTCGTATGTGCATGTGCATGGATACACAAGAACTGCTCTTTTTAGAATATGAGTGTGTATGTCTATGTCAATGCGCAAGCAAAAGAAAACATTCTTGTTAAAAGATAAAGAAGTGCAATTAATTAAAGAATAATACGAAGTGTCTGTGCGTTTGCTATTCGTGTCAAAGAAGTTGAAAAATAATAGATCTATTTGAAATAGTTTATAAGTAACTTTTTAATATTGATTTAGTAAATACGACATAGGGTGAGAAAAATTTTATTTTAACTTATATAAAATGTATTTATAAGTATTTTTAAATATTTTCACAGACAAGCCCAATAATTATCAAGCTAGAAGTTGAATCAGATTGCTCCTTGCTGATTGATGCAATTTCAGGGACAGGTCATGGGGCCTAGAATGACTCTCTTCTATGGTCGTATGAACAAGTTAAGGTGGCCGGCTCTCTGATTGGCCAGACACTGTGATGGGGGGTCCACGTACGAAATTCTTTAAACGTCTTGGTTTCAAGGGGACGTGCAATTCAACGACGCAGTTTTGTAAACACTTGACATTGAAAGCCACTTTCTACATCAATTACCGATTCTTTCTTTCTTGTTATGAATGTGACTTGCTGTGACTCCTTTTCTTTTTATAGCATTGTCAGGCTTGAGCCTTCGAAGGGGAGATCTCCACCCCTAATCTCTGCAATCCTAAACACATAAAAATTGACGTAGAACATAAAATTTCCACATCAATAGCTTGTCTGGCTGTACTCTTTTATTGTTATTACTTCTAATGATGTTACCAAGCATCATTATTAAATTTTATATCATGTTTGTTTTCTACACTCTTCATAAATCTTGTGTTTTTTAAATATATTTATATTTGAAAAAATAACAGAAAAGTAACCTCAAAATTATTAAAAAAATTTTATATCATGTTTGTTTTCTACACTTCAATAATAATAGATTTTGACTTAACTTACAAATAACAACATATTTTTATAAAAAAATTGAACTTGGGGTATACTACCTCTGCTTTTTAATATAAAATCTACTTAACTAATTTGGGTAAATTGAGAAAAATAGTTAAATTGTCTATTTGTCAAAAATACATGTTAACTTTTCTAAAATACCCTCTTGAACCATTTGGATAAAAACTGAAGCAAACTTCCTTAACATATGCGGTTAATAAAATTAGAATCTTATATTTATGATCAAATTTAATCCTATACTAACTCTTATGTCAAGCCCAGCAAGTAGCAGCATGCAATTTTCAGTTCCCATTCTGTCATTCTCCTTTTATATCTATATTTTTTTGCCTCAAAAAATACCCATGCTCTTGGATTGAGGTGATTACTGGGGGGGAATCTATTGTTGATTGATCGACACTGGCTTTGTCAAATTGACAACAATAGTTTACAAGCACACAGTTATAGATTAGCAAATTTGAAATCCAATCCAGATTAGATTTTCTTTTTTTGGGTCAAGCAGATTAGATTGATATTATTTGGGACTCAAGGGGTCTTTCCAAAGTAACAAGCCATGTTATAAATGATACATTATCATATCTAGATTAGCAACAATTCAATAATCTAATTAGTTCCCAAACTACTGTTGCTGATATTGATCGAGTAATGCAAAGCACTTTATCAAAATTAATCAAATATAGTCAACAAAGCATAATACTACCCCTGGTCCTTAATATAAGATATTATTTGACTTTTATTTGGTCCTAAATATAAGACCTCAGTCTATTTTGTCTCTCATATTTATTTTTTTCAAGACAGTCATTCTAATAATAGCAGTTTTAGATAATAAACTTAATTAGTAAGGATATTTTAGAAAAAACAACACATATTCATTACAAATAATTAACTTAACTAAGACTCTTAATCTTTTTAAATTAGTTAACTGGATCTTATAATTAGAATCGGAAATAGTATGTGGGGATATTTAATTTATGTATTTTTGGAACAAACCCCAGCATATAACTACTACTTATGAAGTGAGTAGTAAGCAATTCTAAAATGGCATGTTTTTTTGGGTAATTAACTACTTTTATAGCTGCTCTTCGGACATTTGTCTCATTCAGCATCTGTTTAGCCCTTGAACATGGCTTGATCAACGTTGTTTGCCGTTTCTTCTTTTTTCCCGCCGTCTTTCTTATGCCCCAAAGTATATTTGTTATTGTTGTTGTTGTTATTATTACTTTGTAACCTTGCGCGCCCACCTATTGCCTAAACCTCTGTCCGACCCTGCGGACGCAAGTCGGCCAAGGAAGAGGAAGATGGTTTTGGGAAGAAGATAATGAGCCAAATTACTCTTCTCTCTGAACTAACGACAAGGAGGAGGTTCTTTCTGCTGCCGCCAAATTAATCATTTCCCTTCAAGTCAGTTTACCTATAAATACCAAGATAAATCCTACATTTATTTCTTTTATAAAGAAAAAAAAAATCTTGCGCTGGCGACTGTTGCTGCTTGGAGCCATCGACCACTGGAAGTGAACGTAGCGTGGGACTCCACCTTTCCACTAGAGGAGGTTAACTCTTACGAGTGGATATTGAGACGCAGATTCGAATTAAATATGGTGAATGTTGGCGGGTACAATGACACCCAGATAGTTGCAAGTAGCTGAGAGAAGTCCAATTGGAGAAAGTAGGCAGCATGGGGGAGAGTTCAGGCTCGGGATTCAAGGAATATGTGGCCGGTTTGCTCGCTGGGGTTGCGACGGTGGCTACGGGCCATCCCTTTGACACAGTGAAGGTTCTCATTTTATCCTTCCGTATTGTGTATTGCCTCTCAGTCTAATTGCTCTAATGTTTGTAATGATCAGACGGGTTTAGGAGATTCTAATTACGTTCAATTTCTGGGGTTGTTAATGCTCTCCCGCTCCTAGTAATTTGGGGCTAGCTTCATAGGGAAGTTGGATAATAGGGGAATGAAAGAAGGAATGGATTGTTCTTTGCATTTTGGTGCATCTCGATTTCAATTATTCCCGGACCAGGCAGGTGTAAAACGACATTTTCAGAGAGCCTTCCACTGTCATAATTGTCTAATCATAATTTTACGGATTATTAGCCAATGAAGATTGAAGAATTTGGCTGTTGTACTGAGTAATTAAGTCTTTATGATGTGGATTAGATGTGGAATTTGTTATGTGCGGGGGAGGTGGAATTTTACGGCCATTTCTCTGTCTAATGGTGACTTTTACAAAAGATATGGATTATAGTCAATTCCAGATAGTTTGGAACTGTATGATAATTTTATTGGTACTTGGAATATTTTGAAATTAATAATAAATGAATAACATAGAAAGTTGTTCAAAGGAAGAGAACGAAAACGATTGTATTGTCTCACTGATATTTCGGTGTTCTTTTTTTTTTTTTTTGGGCTGTGGGATGTTGTTTGGGGTCGCAGCATCAGAATTCAGCAGCTAAACTATACTCATTGTAGCATAGTCTCTTTTGATGGAGTGGATTCAATCTATTCCAGAGAGAACTGATTTGCTCAATTTGAAACAAGCTTGGCTGCATGATTTAACAGAGTAACAATAGCATGCTGCACAGCGGAGAGGAGTGTGGTGATCTCACTATGTAGAAGAAGGGTAAATCTGGCACTGGTATTGGAAAGCATATACGTATGAAGTGGTTGACGTTTATAAGGAATCTAGAAAACAAAATTTTCAAGCAACCTTAATCTGAATCCTCAGTTAGATAGCAACTCTCTAATGATTGAAGTGTCTGCCATCTACTTTTACAGCATGGGATTCTGCCGCACCTGACTAACAAATTGACCCGTTACAAGGAAAATCTTAAAGAATTATGGTCTTATTAATTAAAGGAGACGCTGACAGTAAAAATAATTATCTCTCCTCCTATTTCAAGCAAAACTTGTTTAGAGCTACTTCTATTCGAATAAATTGATGACAATTTATGTTATTTGTGAGATCTTCATTCTTGCTCTCCATAGCAGCCCTGAAAATATCAACCTGGTCAACATTGCTGTTAGTACATACATGTTGAGCTGTTGTCTTTGGTGTTTCACTGATAAAAAGCCTTCACTTGAAAGGCTGGTTCAAGATGCTCAACCAGGTTGGGACTTGGCGTTGATAGAGGACCTAATTGTGTACAAAATGTAGGAATAAGTTCAAAACCATAGGTTGTAAATAGATCATTGTACCTCACAAGTTTTATTGGGGTTGGAGGAGAAAGCCTATGCTAGGGGGGTATATTGTTGCGGGCTCAGATCCATAGGAGGAGACTGAAGGCTGCTCCAAAATTGAATTCCTGCATCTGACTAAAAGAAGGTTGAAGCAGACTTTTGAATGTGGCACAATATTGGATGCTCTGATACATCATGCATAAGCTTGATACAAATTCAACAAATCAATTTGAAGGCCAATCGACTGAACCCATTCCCCTCTGTTGAATCAGTTCTTAAAGTTACCCTGCTATCCCTTGCCATTTTCCAAATATTTACATATGCAGTGGATAGAATAAATCAGGCTTGGAGCTCACTAACTGTGAGAGAACATGGGCTTTAAATGAAAAATCCCCACATTAGGCCCAACCAAAAAAAAAAAAAAAACCCATACAAATCCTTGGGGGAAACATGCTTAAGAAATCCTCAGAACAAGAACCAATCTCATGTAACAGCGATACTGATGTATTGGCTTACTTCCTTACCTTCCATGATATACTCTTTTGCAAGCTAGCTTGGAAAGCTGGGATTTTATCAGGTTATGGCATATTTCTGATACATGGAATCATGGGTGCTAGCATGAATTTTGCATGGGCTAACTAATGACTTACATAAAACATGGAACGGATTCGGAGATGGTTAGATCGGTAGTATTTAGCCCTAAAAGAGATGTCACCGTTCACCAACATAAACTGGAAACTCCACAAGCTTTCATTTCCATAGCAATATATTTCATTCTAAAGTGTGGCTACTATCAGTACTGCTTAATAATTTGATATTTGATGTTAAGTTTTTCTTATGCTGGTTGGCAAACATAAGATATTATTGGCTTCTAAGATGTGGTAATACGTTATGTTATAAATTTTACTGCTGGCCAGTTCTTTGGGTCTAATTATAGTCTGCTTTTGAAGTCATAGTTTATCTGTTTATTATTACTTCATTTGTTAGGTGAAGCTGCAAAAACACAATACTGAAGCACATGGGATTCAATATAGGAGTGGTTTGCATTGCACTGCTAGGATACTGAAGACTGAGGGAGTATGTTTCTTGATTTTTATCTTGTGCGGGACAATTTTTCTTTTTTCTTTTCTTTTTTTTATATGCGTATTTAGAAATAATGAATATGTAACTTTGTTGTGTTTTAGTGCTGACAGAAAGTCCTGCTGATTCAGACTTGATGTTATGCATATTGATGGAGATCATTGATTTAGTGTGTGTTTGGCCAACCGTTTGGAGTTGCCAAACTACCTTTCTGCAAATCCAGTTTTGATATATGCTTGTTTGGGTGACTCAAAGCTGACTTCTGGACATTGGAATATTAACCCATATGCATTTTACAAATGGAAACAAAAGTTGTTTTTAGGAAATTAGGTTTTGTGAAATGGGGTTTTGTAAACTGATTTTGTTAACTACTAGCTAAATATCCAATTAACTTATGTTCTTTTGTCTGGCAATATAGATGGGAACATTTTACTGATTATGCTGATGTAACCATCAGTTAATGAGTAATAATGAAGTTATCTGTTCATCCTATTTGTGTTTTAGGTGCACAGTGACATTGATATGATGGTTAATATCTTACTCAGCTTGTAGTCCCAAGTTTTCACATAACTTTAAGAAGTGAGGATTTTATGTGAGAACTGGAGGTTATGATTTTTGGTGGCCATTGACAATTCATTTGTGAAATTTGGCTGCACTTTAGCCTTTTAAGCATTGGCTATGCTGTGATGGCAGAAGGAACATGTATCCACCTGTGTTACAGTTCTTTATGGAAAAGAAAGACATGACATTTCTTGCATTAAAGCATATTCCGGACTTCACACATCTTTCATCAATTAGTAGTTTATGTTGTGAGCAAAAAGTGGCTGCCTTATTCTTTTCTTCCATAGAATCATTATTTTAATATTATAATATCTTATTTGTCTTTCCTGTCTATATGTCTTCCTTATTCTTGAAACCTCTACCCGTGCTGCTGCATCCCCCATTTTGATTGCTGAGGCCAGGAAGGAAAATGATCGCATAATTTCACCTTTTTGGGGTGCATCTTCTCCTCTCACCTCCAAGCTTTGTGTCAAAAGTTTGTAAATAGAAGGTTTAGGTAGATATTCCTTAATCAAAAATAGCAATGCCCATAAAAAAATTGGAAATCAAGACCGTGAAAATTGTTAGTTGTTATTTGATTATTTTGATCTGATATACCCTGTGTTTTTGTTGTTGTTGTTTTTCAGATTAGAGGTCTTTATAGTGGAGCAACATCATCTTTTATTGGGATGGCTTTTGAAAGTTCACTGCTTTTTGGCATTTATTCCCAGACAAAACTAGCCCTACAGGTTTGCATGAAAGTGACTCAGATAAGATTTATCTCGGTCTGACATTTCATTTGCCTCCAATTAACAAAGCTAGCTCTCCAGGCTTGCATAAAAAGTGTCTTAACACACTTTAGTTCATACCATCTGGTTTCCTTTTTCTTTTTTCTTTGTTAGGGTGGTCTGCCAAGCAGTGTACCACAGCCTCATGTAATAATACCATCTGCAGCTTATGGCGGTGCCATAATCAGCTTCGTGTTGTGTCCATCAGAGCTGGTGAAGGTAAAATGAATATAAGTTTATGCGTGGTAGCATTGGGAGATTCTTAGGTAGACCTGGTCTACGTCAAGCCAATTATTTATAGTCATGATTGGCTGCATCTAAAATTTGCGTAGATTTAGCATACTTAATCATTTCTTGTTGCCTATGGCTCTTCTGTCTGTGTGATACCAGTTTAAATCTGAACTTCCAGTGCAGGATGCAAATCCAAGGCACTGACTCTTTGGTTCCTACGTCCAGCAGATACAAGAGTCCTCTTGATTGTGCCCTAAGAACTGTAAAAACTGAAGGGGTGAGGAAAACCTGTCATATTCTGCAACATCATGATCAACATGTTTACTAGCTGACAGAATACCTTTTCAGGTGGCTGGAATCTTTCGCGGTGGTTATACAACATTGCTTAGAGAATCTATCGGAAATTCTGTGTTTTTCAGTGTTTATGAATATGTGCGTTATCACATGCATTCACACGTCAAAGTTGCCTTGTCCAATTACAGTAACTTGATTGACATGGGAATTGGGATCGTTTCTGGTGGCCTCAGTGGTGTAGCTGTAAGCATATTGACAGCTAAGCATATTTTTGGTCCCGTTGAACTTTTCTCAACTTTTGTATTTTTCTCGATTGTTCTTGCAGTTTTGGTTGGCTGTTTTGCCCCTGGACGTGGCAAAAACCATTATTCAGACTAATCCCGACAGAAACTGTCCAAGGAATCCTTTTCCAGTCTTGAGTAATGTTAGCTCTACGAATTCTTTTCACCTCTTGTTACTCAACTGCCAAATGTAAAAAAAGATCATATGTACGAGGTCAAAAGCTTTTTGTTTTTGGGGTAGATTTACAGGAGGGCTGGATTAAAGGGGCTTTACACGGGCTTGGGTCCCACGGTTGCTCGAGCATTTCCTGCTAATGCAGCGGCAATTGTCACCTGGGAGCTAGCAATGAAAATGTTAGGTATTAAGCATGACTAAGGTTGGTGCATCTCATGTTCTCAATACTGATTTTTTTTTTTTTTTGGGGGTCAAAGACACTGACTCCTCATTCTATTACTTCTTGAGTGGTGAAATGTTTCTGTTATTCTCTGTGCAGAGTCCCTCTCTGACATTTTTTTCAGAGGCTAGAGAAATAGAATGGTTTTGCATCTAACATGAGGATTAGCGAGCTTCTTGGAGAAAGAAATTGGAAGGGGCCGTGCTTGCAAACCAACACCCCCAATTATTTTTTAAAAATAAATTCTGTATCATTTTTCCCCATTCATACGAATGGAAAATATTATCATTAGAGTGTCATTCTTATGTCAGTTCACAGCACGCTAATTGTTTCCGCATTCATGTTGAATACTGAGAAAGAAAGCAGAAAATTCCAACTAGACTAAAGCTTACTTTCTGAGACAATTAGAGTACTGATAATTGATGCATCCATTTACGACTCTGACTCTGCTTGTTGACTTGAGCACACGACCATGTGACGACTGGGTCATTTATCATCTGATCCAGTAATGTCATTGGCTCACTGTCTCTCTCTCACGTTGTCTTATTATTACCTCGACAGTCAATGCAGCCTACATTAATGAGCGTGCTTAAGATTCCTTTTTCAGCCTCCTTTTATACAGTTCCAGTCAAATCTGCACCACAATTTCCCTCTGTAATGGGTATCGGTAAAATGCTTTAAGGGCGATGTACTTCGGTTTGACTGCAAGAAACTGTACGTCGTTTCTGGGCAGAATAAGGAACAAACCGACCTTGAGTTGAACCCAAATTTACCAGAAGTTATGTTTTCTAGTGGAGTTTTTCCTTGAATCAAAGGTTTTTGTCCCAACGAATAATTATTTTATTCTTATTATCCCGTTGGCAATCTTGTTTGCCAATCCTTTAATGTAGATGCTATCATTTATCTCTCCCTGGCATTATTCCTTTGTGCAAGGAACTTGTCATAGATCAGCAAGCTTGAATTTCACGTTTTGCCAGCAAAGATGGTGGAAATACAAGTCGAAATTTCAACTTATTATCAAGAGAAAATTAAATTTCTCGTGCATGCTCTTTAAGCTAGTTAATCGTGCATAAAGTTAACTGAAATTCACGGATTATGTAGGTCAATTTCGCCGCACGAAAACACTTGGATGAATTGTTGTCAAGTATTTAATTACAGGAACGATTTAATATCATATTTCTAAGAACTTTTTGATGTCTGCCATATTCTAAATATTTGGGAAATTAATGAAGGCAAGCTAATACATCGAACACAAAAGTATGACAAATATTTGGAGTGTCACATGGTCAAGTCACCAGTGGCAGAAGATTGACAGAAGACAGAGAGCATCTTTGGATAACAATAACATAGTAAAATTTATCCATGAAGAAGATTTCAATGGGGGAATTTATTTAAACTAATATGCTTGCCTCAGAGCTCATCATCATCACTATCCGAATTCTCATCGTTGTGATGAGATCCTTCCCCATGATTATATAGTTAAGATGCATTCTTTCGACGCCTTTCATTGTGTCCAGCCAAACGCTTTCTACAGCTCCTTTTCGTGTCATCAAATTCTTCCAGCTCATGAAACCTGAAAAACACTTTCAAGAGAAATTGGTAGCCAATGATGAGAAATAATCTACATATGTGTATGGATATGAATGAATCCGAGTAATATCAAATATAGCATTCATCTCAATAAGGCTCTGAGGATTTTGGTCTATTACCCTTTTTCATTCCTCCAAAATCCTCTCCGAAGGAAGAAAGAGGTTTAACCTGTGTAACTCACATGGATGGATTAAGGATGACAAAAACAAATTAAGTGGCTCGTACTGATGTAAGTAATAACTAATACGTGTGCCTTAATTAGGAATATAAAAAATGAAACTTTTTTTAGGCGTGTGTCCCAATTAGCTAGCCCTATTTTCAACTTATAGAGTAATAACGGAACTGAATTTTTGACAGCATTAACCATTAATATCCTACACATTATTGGTTTCCATGATACATATATTAAGTGGGTAGGGGCCGGGGAATCCTCCATATCAAATATCTTGCACCATTTCTTCTGTTTCCAAACCTTGCAGGAATCTCAGCTTAATTACAATTAATCACAAGCAGAAATAATGCTGTTCAAATTGATAATTTCAAAAAAGACTTCATCTTTCCCACTAATTAAACTGCTTAAAGTCAAGATTTTTGGATTCCGATTCCTGGGGGCTTAAACCCTTAAAGTACTTCACTTGTAACAAAATAACAAAGAAATGTAATTACTAACAAGTAATTCAGATTCAAAAAGAAACTGTAGAGAGAATTAGGGTTTTGCGAACGACCTGCTGCATTGTTGGCAAAACCTTTGGTGCAAGCCGGCAATGAGCACAGAAGCAGCCTTGGCATGGAACTCACAGACCTTATGGCGGCGATGGTAGTGCTTAGCCTCACTCAGATCACTGTCACAGCCTTCCACCTGACATGAAGGCGCCATTGATGAGGACGACCCTCCCTTGCTGTACAGATCTCTCATCTTCTTCCTCCCATCGTCTCCTAAATTGAACTCATCAAGCTCTTCATCTTCTTCTTCATCTTCAACCTCCTCTTCCTCCTCCACCTTGTACTTGGAGCTCCTCTTTCCCTCTCCGCTTCTTTCCATATAGGGAAGTTTAGTGTGTGAGGAAAGGATATCAAGCACCCACAGAAAAGATATGGGGAAAAGAGCCACATTAGCTCAGTATATATAGAAAAGAAGAAAGGTTAGATGCAAAGTTTATACATATCTTCTTAATTACTGTTTAACAATAACATGATAAATTATCTTCAGAAAAATAACCTGCATGCTGTATAGAGTCGGATTTGTTCAGAATATTTTTTTAAAAAAATAAACTTTATCTAAGTCTTCTCTCCAACAAAGAGTGAAAAAGAATTAATGGGATAGGACCACGGGGTCTCTCTTAGCTTCCACTTCTAACACGAGGGGTTAATAGTGAAAGGCCAGAGACTAAAGACGTAACCTACTTTTTGATTGGTATGTTATCGTACTAGACGACCCAGAGAGAAGACTGCAAATAAAACTGAACACTTGACTTTGCCCTCAAGCTTGGACTTTTCCCACAGTATAGTTTCGTGATTATTATAAATAAGATATATTAAGGTAGCTAGCTGTTGTGATTTGTGAATTATTAATGAATTCATGGATGTATCTGATTCGCTTTTGTTTGAAAGTCTGTGGCCCCTAAACCGTCAATTGCCATAGCTTTTATTTCTAGCTAGGTCCTCCGGCTAGTTTACCTTCGTGGCATCTCTCATTAGTTACCATCAAAATTAGGAAAAGCAAGATTAAAAATTTTACCCACAAGGCTTGTTTTCTTACCTCTTATGGCGGCTATACCGTGGAAGTAATTAAATATTTAAAGAAAGAAACAAAAAGCATATATAGGCATGCCCCATTCGCACTATATATGCTCCTGCATGCTCAAAACTTTAATAACCTGAAGAAAAAACAGTAAATATTTCTTTTTTTTTAAATGAACTAACTATTTTTTCGTCAATTTCTTTTTCCTTAATTACCAGTAAAAGCGACAATCATGTGTGTCTATGCATATATGCGACTTAATTTGACAATAATAATGATGCTAATTACACGATCCCTTCCAGCAAAAAGAATTCTAATTACACTATTGTTGAATCACTCGGGTGTAAGTCAACAGTAGGTATGATATTATATTTTCTATATACAAGACATCGTTGATTCATGACAAAAGAAGTAAAAATTAAACAAAAGCATTGTTATCATTTAGCCAATTGGGGTACGTACATGGGCGCACTGAGGAGTATATATGTAGGAAAAAGATACAGAGCATGTAAAGAAGATAAGCTTTTTGGGCAATATGCATACGATAATGATGATGAAGGGAAGAGAGAAGATGTGAAGCACATAAATCCAAAGGAGAAGGAAAGAAATGAAGAGAGAGAGAGGGGGGGAGGGGAGGGGAGGCCCCATTGAGTGGAGGACGATTCCTTCTTCATGATATTGATCCATTGAGAGGGCCATTATTTTTTTTTTTGACCTGAGAGAGGAGCATTATTGAAGGGTGAAGATATATACCATACATGAAGGCATGAATTGATTTGACAAAGCTTTTTGACCCTAGTCTCTCTCCTTCCTTTGTCTCTCTTCTTCATCACGTACGATATTGCATGCTCTCTCTTGCATATATCTTCTTCTATCATCTGTTTGCTGCCAGCTAGCTACCTGTCCCTGTTCTCACCTTCTTGTCAAACACCTTTTCATCTACCCATTGCTTCTTCTGAGTCGACTCAGTGATTCCATGCATTCAAGTTTTGTGAAACCTAGAAAAATGACATATGTAAAGTTGTCGTTGTCTGGGTCTTATAACTTAGTGACGTGAAGCTAACTTATTTTTTTTAAAAAAAAACTCACAAGTTTAATATTACTTGTAATCTTACCTACTTTTCTGAATGAAAAAATAGTGAAAAATGACCGTAAAAATTACAAAATTTTAAAGCAGAAATTTTTATAAAAATGTGTTACAAGTCAATTATTATCAAAATCTGTTAAAATATTATAACGAATCCTGATTTAAAATTGTGATTTTTCCGGTTTTATGTGTCGTTTTCCCAAAAAAAAAAACTCTTCATTTGATATTCAACATGACTCAAATTTATTTGATATACATCAGATGGTTTTCACCCAAAAAACAATATATAATTATTATATTTTCAAAAATATAGATATGGTTTACATAAAGAATGAAACCGTATCACTTTCTCTTTTGACAACATTTTTTTTATTTCTTTTCGTTTTATGCTATATGCAATTAATTTATGATAGCACGAATCCGAATCCCATGTTATCATTCTTCTATACTACTTTTTCTATCTGATTAAAATTTTAGTCTTAATATTCACCTAATGTTTCAAATTAACGTAATATCAAACATATCTTGCATTGTTTCGTAAAATATTAGAGAATTGGTGGAGAAAATAATAATTTCTTTTAATAACTTTTAACACTAATTGGTTGGGTAAGTAAGAAATTTTTTTGACACTGATTGAAATTATACGGGATCAAAATTATAATTTAGTATTTTTTTAAAAAAGGAAAATGTTTTCTAAACTTAATTCTTAAATTCTAAGCAGATCAATAATAAGTTAAAAAAAATTCCTATGTCGATAATTAACGATTCTGAAAATAACCATTTTCGATATTGAAGACACGAATGAGTTATGCCTCTTGTGAGAGGAAAAACAGTAAAACTATAGCTAAATGAACTCATTATATTAAACTCCATTAATGATGGCTATATATATAGGACCACCTTTGGCCATTGCTGTTTTTATAAATTGGTCCCCAGTTGTACATGTTTGTTCCATGTATTTAATACCCTTTCTCATCACCGACTACTGCGTCACACAATTCAAATTAATTTCCATCTTTCATGTTTTGATATAAATATATATATAATATATGGGGTTATAATTAATACTTCAAACAAAAAACTTGCTCTTGCAGATTCACTTGTGTAAATTAAACATTCTGTGTTTGTTTTATGCTACTGCTATATCATTTTGGATATTGAGGAGGGTGAGCGACCCTGAGTTTGGAGGAACATTATTGTTGATGTTTCAGAATATTATATTTTAAGATTTTTCAACTAATCAAAGAGGATATGGTATGTTTTTATATCATCAAATTTCGATTTCCTGAGAAATGAGATTATATTGATCCAGCTCAATAGGGTCTCAATTTGTAAAGCGTCTCTCATGCATGGTTTTCATGGTTATTATTTATAAGGGCACTAATTGGTCACAACACGTCAAGGAAAAAAGGTATTCGTATCTGTCGGACATGAAAATATTATAAAAATTACTCTATATAGCAACAGTTCAAAAATATAATAATGGACAAGAAAATAACAGCCACAAAGATATATATATATATATGTATGTATATACACACACACGTAAATATTGACGCACATATATTGATTAAATCTACCTGAAGTATTTTCTTTTTCAATGTTGGGTTCTAAATGGAACATTTAAATGTTGTTCTGGAGATATGACCCAAAAGAAAAAGATAATGTGGTGACATGAGACTTCGCCCCACAGTGACGTACACAAGAATGGCAGGCAACAAATGAAGAAGGCCAAGAGAATCAAATGAAAAAGGGACATGATATTGCGTCTGGTTTGTTGCTTCGCAGTGAGTTGGAGAATAGAATTGACTCAGAATATGTTCGTCCACACTGAAGATAATATTGCAAAAATCTAATTAATTAAATTTAATTTAAACACAAGTGGAAGCCCTCAAGCCAATGCATTGCACATTTCTCAGAAGGAGAATGGATTGAATGTGCTAATTTAAATTGTCAAATGGGCTTGTAACGTTATTGATGATCAAATATATTTCCGAGCATATATGTCTATTTTGATATTAAATATAAAACCTAAACTTATTTTATGTCTTAACTTTATGATGTATCATTATTGATTGTATATATTAAAGGGATTTACATCAATTTAAAATTCCAATGATTAAAAACAACATTTTAGAAAAATCAACATGCATTTTTTAAAATAACTAATTTAGTTAATTTTCTTACTTTTTGTAAATTAGTTTTCTAACTGCTATATTAGGAATTGGAGGGAGTACTATATTTGCAATCCTACATCTACGCGTAGTGAAAGAGATGGATCAGACAGAAGAGATGGTAGAAGTACCTAGTGCACTTTGGTATGCTGCTGATTTATTTTTTTGTATGACTTTGTCATAGTTCTTTTTTTTTTTTTGTCAAAAGAAAAAATGCCTCATGCATTCCATCTACAATTGTCCTTATATTCCTGCACTTGAGATCTATAAAGATTTAGAAGCTTTTAAAGTTCACATAGCGATCAAAGATATTGCTTTCAGAATATATATACGGTGTTTTCTGGTGTAGGTAGGGAAAGATATATATTACATGATTCCTTCATTATTTTTTTGCTTTTAATGTAAGTTGCAAGAATTTTTATTGAAAAGGATATCAGATTCTACCCAAGTCATTCTCACAGATGTCCTTGATGAATATGACAAAGGTGTTGTTTCTTTCTCTTTTTCAACTTTTCCCCCTCTACCTATATGGATGTATTCCAAAAGCCTACAATAAATATTTGTTCTTTCCACCCCCCTCCTTCTGTTGGGATTGTTTCCTCGCGTATAAATTGACAATTTTAAAAGGTGGTAATTCAAAGAATCAGTTCTGCTTCCTCAGTTTTATGTCCTCTTATTTTTTGTGGTTGAAGTTGAACAACTTACTAATGCCTTCACAATATTTCTTTCTATTTTTCTGTTTTTTTTAAAACTAGTTAAAATAAAGATAAAAGTGTATTTCTACTCTTATAATTTTACACATGATTTCAATTTGATCGTTAATTTTATTAAGTGTCATTAGTACAAGGAACACTGGACTAGTGCATACATGTTGACTCCTTAATTTTGCAAAAGACTGATGAAAGCATACTCAAAATGGTGGCAAAATAGAAATTAAGATTCCGTTTAGTACGAAGCATTGAAAATAAGAGATAAGGATTGGAATTGTGATTGCAATTAAAAAAATCATTAAAATAATATTTAGTATGAGTAATTGCTTGTTACATGGGATTAGATAAACTCATAGAGGTGAGATTAGGGAATACCACATGTCT